CAGCCCATTTACAACTTTTATTTTTATCTCGTTAGGAGAACAGTATATTTGAGTTTTGAGAATGATGAATGTCATTGATAGTCTTTATATGAACAGTATCAATATTATGGGATCATGCACCGATGCTTATGCAGCCTGTAGTTCAATTGTAAGAGGGCAACACGAACGAGGGCATGCAACCAGAAAGAAACGTTCAAAATTGAAGTTTACGTTCGAAATGAACGGAGCAGGAGATCAGTGTTTCTTCAATGAAAGCAAAGCTTGTGCTAACAAGGCAATAACTAAAACACACAGGGAGTCGTCGATTCTTGGCTCTAAAATGTGTTTCTAGCGCCTATATCCCCATAAAACGAGAAACGCATACTGTGTAGAGTCGTTAGCCTCTAGAGCAAACAAGTGTACTTCATAAGGAATTATTGCATTCTCACAGCAGGACATTACTGATAAAACCGATAAAGGTTGTTGAGTTGATCTACACATAGATAAGTGATAATAGTTCGATTTCAACATAAAAAACAATAGAACATTTTCTAACTACAATAATTGATCTTGACTTCGTCATGAGTGAAGCAACGTAGTGAAGATGCTTGAAATGACAGCAGAGGTGCATTAATAGAATTGCAAACCTGAGGTGAATACTACAGGTACATCACAAAATCTGTCGTTAGCCAATTACACGTACAACGCAACCTTCATTAAAGTTGGATTTAGTGAAAATATAATACTGCCTAAAAGAGTGGTTTGAACAGCCGCGGTTAGGCTATCCAATGGACTATTTTTAAGATACGCAGAAAGATACTCTTGAACACAGTCTTGCTGCTCAGAAGATTCGACACCTATATGGCGCCTAAGGTTAATGAAGACAACATGCTTCTTGTAGTACCTTTACGAGACGCTATTCTCGTTCTAAGAACGCAGTGATCTACGTAAGTCCTTCCTATTATCTATCAAAACTAGGGGAACTGATATTCCATCATCATCTAATAAACCAGTAAATGTTTACAGTTAACGAGCTCGTCCAGTCAGAAGTATCGCCAAGACCAGACTGCCGACAGCCTAAAAAATCAGTACGGGGTAGAAAAAGATTCACATATTTGAGTATACTTTATCGAGGACGGCTGCACCCAGCAGATATTTCTGTAAATATAATTTAGAATTTCGGACAGTTTCAAATCCATTGGCTCGAAGAATTTGGTCTGTTATCTTTGAGACATATGGGTAAAGCATTGTTTATTGAGATCTGGTATCAAAACGTACGCTATCTAAAACCGTATGACTCTTGCTATTTAGACCAAAATGTCTGTCTTGCATGGTAAGCTCGCTAATCAAATCGTATGTACGCGCGATTCCTACAAAATAGCCCATCAACATTTCCTCGCGCGCTTCGTCGAACATCATAGTTTCCTCATAACACATAGTAACAATGAAAAATATTCATAGGTGTGCCATAAAATTCAGATGAAGGTTGAACCGACTCTCTTCCTGTTTACCACTTTGAAGTTAAGCTTGGAGGTTGAGGGGAACCATCAGCTTGTGTTCGCCGTATATCCAAACCACTACCACAGGGGCCTGAGATAATGCCCGCAAAGTGATCACTGCACCATCACCAGAGGGAAGTGTAAGTATGTTAATTGCTGGTAATATCACGGTAAAATATAAGGGTGGATACTTGTACAAGTATTAGAAGCTAGTCGAGCTAACCATTGATCCGTGCATTTCGTAAATACACAAAATGGGGCATCAAATACTTCTATGTGAACGCTATCCTTAAGATTGTATATATCGTATATTCTTTTTAAGTTTTTCCTCGTTTCAGCAGCATTTAAAAACAGAGTATATTTTGATTGGAATAAGCCAAACTTCTAGGGATGCGCAATGTTGGACAAAAGCCACAAGGCCAAATTTCATTTTTGTGGAGGCCGGAAGGATCGATCGGCTATTGAAATAGATATGTTATATGCAGTAGCAATGTTGACAGTGGCTCTCATCGTGCCCGACCTCGGCACGAGTACGTGCTTGATTCGCATTTAATGCAAAAGTGTAATAGAGCTGTTCCCAAGGCAAAAACTGCGGTTGTTTCTTCAATGATTATTAGTTTCAACCCTGAATCGTACCTTATGGAACGTGCTTCAAAGCGTTGACGAAAAACATCGATTCACCAAACTGCCGTCAAAATCTGGGCACGCATTCAACGTAGTCATCATGATTGTTGTGGTAAACTATACCTTTCAGTACTCTAGTAAATCAGGTGCTATCGCGCGTACTCGCGAGCCTTTATTTCGGGGTTACTCTAGGTTAATCCCGGCTGCTGGAGCATCAAGCAAGCCTTTTCTAGCGGGTGGCAAGTGTTCTACGTTGTGCATTCATCCCTGTGCAGCCCTTTGCTTCAACTACAGCGGAAACGGTTTTTCTATTGTCGAACGTACCCCATAGGGTCACATCTCAGATTTATCGTTTCTTTTTATGACAAAATAGTACATCGAGTTTTAGCTTATTTGTCTTTGAAAGTGTCTGTGAGTGCTATCGGAGAGATCCATCCAATATTTATACAGGCATCATAATACGTTAGCTAGAAATTATGAATGAGACAACTTATTACAGAAATAAATCGTCAGCTATTTATATTAACTTACATCACTGGATTGACATGTAACAAACATGGCCATGTAACCTATTTACTGTTTACAACAATTTGGTATAACTAAGCAACGAAGGCAACTTAATAATGTTAACAAAATCGGCAATTAAACATTCGAATTAACTAAGAACTTTTATATACAGTATAAAAAGGAGATCTCTAAGAAACAGTGAGCTCAGAGCGCTGTCATCAAAAAAATGGGCTGATATCTGAAATGTATTTTGAATATGCCTTATCTCACACTTTAGATAAGACAACAATACATTTTTGATATAAAGACTACGTCAGACTGATCCTAGAAGAGGACAGACAAGCATTTGAATTTATTACACAGAAGGATCTTTACTGATTTGCATTATTAAATATAGCGCTTCATTGAATACTCGTTCAAGTTAGTTGAAGACAAAAACAGAAATACATACTTTTCGCATAGCAGGGAGCCGTTGAGATGGAAAAATAATAACATTAGTTATTTTTCTTCAAACTGGTAAACTGGCAAAAGGTAGAAATTCAATTTTCAGCAGATCGAACACACTCGACACAGCCTTCTACCCGTAGGTAATGCATTTATGCGTGACGGTCTTCACGCCATATAGAAACATATGAGCAACCCATAATGGTAATGGAACTCCTCTTATATAGATGATTCATCATCATTACTTTTGGTGCGTAAGAGCCTTGTGACATTTCCTATTGTTCTTCAGGCTTTATTTCCGAACTAATATATTGCTTCTTTATGGCCACGGTTACAGGGTGCCGAGACAAAGCCAAATACGAAAGTACAAAGTGTACCTATCTTCAACACCAATGTACAACTTAAGTCTACAGTATTATACCGTAACTTAATTACTCGATTTTTAATAATGAATTTGTACATGAAAAAAGCTGTTCAGTGTATCCGCCTACAATCCGCCTGCGCTCATGCCGGGACAGATGCATTGTTCTTCTTAATCTTTATAGTGAGTGCGCTGATCATCGCTAGCTTTTAGCGTAAGACAGATAGATGTATTCTGTTTTCGATGAAACAGTTAACTGACCCTACGTATCTCGGAACGTAGCTATTATATAAAAGCTAGCCTATTTTAAGAGCTGCGCTCACTAATCGTAGATTTGGAAAATACGAATCGTAAAAACTAGGGATCTGCGAGTAGCTAAATATAAAACAAGCCATCAAAACGATAAAGACATCGGACCCGATATAAAATGCCAGCTTCGAAAAATATTCAGGTAATCCATTGCGATTTGTCGTCTCAATGAGAAAACGGCCCCATTGCAGAACTTAGGGACCTTGTTTGGAGAGTTACTAACGCCACCAGCCAGATAGTCAGCCGGAAATACTGCATCTCCAGAAGTCCAACAATCAACCACAAAAATATATCTATCGATTTGCTTGAGCTATTTCAATTCTTTGCAGCTAGAACGCACCGGCCATTCCTCCTGAGCGTTTCTGGTGCTCTGATGCGTATAGAGTTCGCCGTTATTTCTGTGGCTCGGGAGGTGCGGCGCTTTCCCGTTGCACCATAAGAATACACCAGTACCCTACAGACCCCTTCGACGAATTCCCCTTCAACAAACCAAAATGAACAGATGAACGGGGCCATTTTGATGTAAATCATCTCGGCACGAGCTAGTCAGTATTGTTTATTGCACCGCGTTCTGAATCAAATATACAATCCGAATAACCGAGAAGGTCAACAGGGTAGCAATAAAAGTTTAAGTAAGCTTCAACTTCAACTTCAACTGAATATATTCGCGGAATATAATCAGCAGGATAGGCTTGATCTAAGATAGGCACTTATTTCTGAGTGAAAGTTCATCTCTTCAGACGGATAACCCTTAAAAATAGCGGACTGAATGTGTACGTGTGAGTTATTGGCGCCGCGAGCCCCTAAACTTAGTTGTAACTCGTAGACTTAGAGCTAACTTATTGAAAAACTAAGTCCTAATCGGACGAACGTCGCCGAATGTGTGTTAGGTCCGCCGACTAGATCACGCTTTCGTAAACAGTAATACATCAGAGAGGATCTCAACAAAGAAAAACTCTAAGGACATAGCGCATTAAAAAAAAGAAAAAAACTATAAAATATGTTAACAGTACTGACTGTAAAACGCTAAACACGTACGTCACTTGTTTCGATTAGAAAAGTGTACACTGATCAATTTTTTTTATTCATTTACATTTATAGACAATGTCAACACGATAGAGTTTATTGTATATTGTACAGCTTTTAATAAATGCTGCAGTCTAACTCCTCCATATCGAAACGCGATCGGCCTCTCATAGATGTTCAGGACCAATAATGTAATGATAATTTTATTATCAGTATCATAAATAGCATATAATTATTTACAGCACATGTTATCGAGTATACCTATACACATATATGTACAGGTTATGGACGGGTATACATAACCGCATTTTTCAATAAGCGCTCGTGATTGCTGTTATAGGTACCTCTATGCTGTACACCCGATTCGATTGGGCACTGAAATGACAGAAAAAGGGAGCACTGTTAGCCTATTTTACGCAGGCCCTCCAAAGTGAATTCGGTAAATCCGTCAGTGGGTTCCTTCTCTACGTTTGCTATAACTACCTTCACTGAACCTGTAGTTACCCTGGACGTTTTTAAAGACGGAATTGTCATGTATAATAGAAAACGAGTTAGAACCGTAAAAATGCTATTACAGGACGTGTTCGGGTTTCTAATAATGGCAGTCAGAATTCTTGCTTTTTGTACCAAATTGACCATCGACCAGCTCCAATTTACTGTTATTCAATTCACGACGTCCTGTAACGTACGAACATGTACGCCTGAATGACATGTAGTATTCTTTAAGCTAAACAAAGCCTACGATAGAAGCGGAATACTTAGAGGATAAAAGCATTTATATCAGCCATCGCCATGACTACTATGATATACGGTTAATCTAGTTAAATTGCTCTTCCCTGGGACACGTACAAATCGAAGTTGTATGAATTTCACAAACCTCGTTATTTCCGAAGAGATGCTCTTATGTTAATGCTTCTTTTTATTCCTTTGGCCAGTAGCAAGCCAGACCAATAGGAGCGGATTAACATGGTCTTCATTGTTTTTATCCCATTTCGGCTACGTAAGACGGGCTCCAGCACACGATAAAACACAATACCACTAAAAGTGCCAATTTTACAAGACGCACCTTGGCCGCTATTAAGCGTTCGTTAGAGACGGCAAAGCCAGCGTTGGCTAAGCCGGCGGCTCCACGCGTCGCCAGTAACTGCGATTGGTCGCTCTCGTAGCCACGCTGAATGCGCAAGATGGTCACGCACATGTGTCCATAACAGAAGAGCATCAACGCAATAGGCACCCCAAGAATGATCACGACGAAACTCGTCACGTAGGTCTGCAGTCCGTGCGGATGCCACCCGAAATTTGCCAACCATTTGAAACGCTCCTTTTTATTACTGTCTGTTTTGCCGATATTTTGACCACCTATTCTGGCACATGAGAATGTGTACAATTGTAGTAGGGCAAGCACAAATGCCGGAAGCCATGCGATGGCTATAAGCAGATATCCTACTCGCGAACGGTGATTATTGAATTGTGAAGATTTCGTGCTAATCAGGCCGCCAGCTGCACATGGGCTATTGTTAAGCGGATTATTTGACAGTAACCCATTGGAGTTCGATCGTATACCTAACGGCCAGCCATTGTGCGCAGAGACCTGGGTCGATCAAGGGACATGCCGGTTAAGATGTCTGTACTGAGGTAAAGGACAAGGACTTGAACGTAAGTGATAAACTTGCAGAGAACTCCGCCGCCTCGAAAGTGCACCGTGATGACTCACGCCAGTTATGGTGTGATATTCAGAAGCGCTACAAGGACATCGGCAGTAAAAGGAGGCACCATGAACAGCTGAATACGCGACAACGACTCACTGCGGGTCAGTCCACCGGAATAGCTCTGTACTATTCGCCGAAGGAGAATAGCCCACAAAACGAAAAGGTTTGACATGAGTATTAGCACAAGAATCGTCAGAAGAGTCACGCACTGCGCAATAGTTGCTCTTTCTTCGGGACTCCGCGTGACGGCGTCGTGTAAATTTCCGGTACGGCTATCCATTGAGTCGTGCGAAATCTGATGATTCCAAAACAGTAGCTGTCATATATGACAACCTCGAGTTTACGTGATTGCAACCAGTATCTCTACGAAGTGCTTCACCTTTGGCGGGTAAAATTCGAATGAGCTTCAGTAAGACCTCAGTAAACCAGCCATAAATCGGACCTCGAGTGGCGCCCTCGGTGATTGTGGCCGAAACCGTTTTCCGACCTACCAAAGTGAAAGATGTAGCCGCACTGAGCGCAGAAGTCATTTGGATGCTCTGAAAACTTTTCAGAGAGCTCCGACCCAAATATAAGAAATAAATTTTCGAGAGCTAAACAGTTTGCACTGAATGACGCTGTTACTACGAAAGATAATCATCGTTAGAGGATAATAGTTTTTTTTTTTTTTTTTTTATAAATTTGGTTTAAACCTTCACTTTGCAAAATATACATTTATATGACGGAATCAACACTAATTATTACGAATGAATACAAATTATACGTATCGGAGGTTCTGAGATAACCTAGGATGTTTATGTCCAGTTTTTTTTTTTATGATAAACAACTAACATATTATGTCCTCCTCGTGTTTGTCCAAAGGACTTCTTCGCTTAGGTAGCTAAGGCATTCACTCATACTTTTCATCAATTAAAAAGAGGATGAGTGAATTATTCACAGGAATCTACCGAGGTAAACCCTGTGCAAAGTAATTATAAGTGATATGAAAAAAAGGTCTAATTTTTCGATTTACAGCTGACGTTGTACCTCCCTTTTAGGTTGTATGCTCGGGCAAAAACTTGGTTCAGTCCAGGTGTTAAATGTTAATAGTGTTTTATAAAAAGTAAAAGCCAAATATTTTGTTAGACGTATAACGTCTGTCACAATGTTTCCCGTCAAGCAAACTCCCTCCATTAATGAGTAGAAATAGCCAGAGTCCCAAAGGCGTCTGTTTTTATGTTTTAAAATACGTTCGGCTTATCCAAGCCGAAGTACGCTGCGTCTGCGATAGTCACTTTGTAATGGTATTAAATGTACTCATTGACGCCCCGTCTACTTTGGCTTTCTTTTCAACACGGAACTTGCATGACAAAGTGCAGAGTTTCTGAATTTTTATGTTATTTGGTGTTTTTGAGGTGTTTTTTTCTGAATCTACGGTGACATTTCTTTACCCACTATCCTATTGAGATAAAATATGATCCAGCGAGGATTGGGCCTGTGGCGCTTACGGTTGCGGACAACAAATTAAAAGAACCTCACTGTTTTTTAAACTCTACTCGAAAGCCCCCCTTATTTATAAATACTTATATTATTTGGCAAAGCATCTCGGTGCCGATTGAAATATTGGTCCAGGTTAGGGAAAGACAGATTTCAGCGTAGTTATGCTCATTTAAGCAATAGTCAACTAATACTCATAGCCTATGAACAGGAGACAAAGTATTTTTGCTAACTTATTTTTATTGGCATAGATACTTTAGCGTGGCTCCAACGCGACAACTTTACAGATATGCGATACTTCTGCCTAAAATTTGTCGAATGGTTCGCTTCGCAACCCTTTTCACTGAATCAAGTGAGGTTCACTATTGCAAAGTGGTCAGTTACTCGGTAAATTAAGATGCCAGAAGATACCCAGAAGTAAACGTTGTGTCTGATGATCTTTACGAGATATTAAATGACCCTTTCGATAATATTCATTTTAGCTGCATACTAGCGACAAGACCAACACAAAGGACCGACTGAACGAGTAATAGCACTCTAGTTCATGGGAAACCATATTTCCTAACTCAACGCTTTATCACGCTTTTCGTTGTCTCCTATAAAGCAGCTGCAAAAATTAAAGCTGGAGTCCAAAGTTATAGTTTGTCGAATATCAGTCTTTTGCTCCTAGAGTAAATAAGCATCCTGCGTGCACACATAATGTAGTAGAAACATTTCAATATTAGAAAGGGCTACCTATACTAGGATTCAGTGAACCACGCTAAAATACCAGCAGTTCCGTAAACATTTACGCCTGCGGTCATTGGCCTGCGTCACATATAAGGTACACAAGACATATCGCTCCTAACTTCGTTCGTTTGTATCGTCTGACACCGTTAATCTATTTCTGCTTAGTTGTGTTCGTTCTGCCTGATGATCACGCAGATCAACACCGGGAACGTGTCTGAGATAGCGAGAAAATTGGCTTCTTGTCCAATGCGTTCGAAAGGTTATAGTTGCATTCTCGCGGCATTTCCCACCTGGGCCTTTCCCTGATCTTTACTATGTGCGCCTTCAGCCTGTAGCGCAGTAATCCTCGCTTAAGTTTCGGCTGAGGAACTAAAGTTTTCTAACTAGAGGATAGGATCATTAGTTAATACTAACAGTAGTCATATTTCTTTAGTGGTACCGCAAAACACGAGCTGGTGCGATGGTAAGTTCGAAATCGGGACGGTTCGTTTCGACCATCGATCTAAAGACGATCGTGATTAATGCAGTAGTAGTCGGACATAAAACCCGAAACAATTTTTCTAGTATGAGAGAGAGACTCTGGAAGGTTCGCAAAGCTTCCATATGCATGAAGCGGGCCAGTCATCCAGACAGCGCTTACGGCGTCCATAAAATTGGTATCTTTTTCCGTTCATTATGTCCCAGATTTGTTTTATGATTCGTAGTTGATGCAGTGATTATAGCTAGACATAGTCTGAACCATTAACACCGCGTGTTGAATGGTTAGCATCAATCCGTTCAATTCAACTTCAGGACCCTTTGCGTCGACCGAACTCGATGTGGTTAAGGGGACTCTGATTACGATGGAAACACATAACTGATTTTCGATGTCCGACTCACCTGAATAGGTCTGCTTATGATCAGTAAAGCTTCGCTGGCGAGCTTCAATAGCACAAAGACTTTTCTCGAACTGTTTTTGTGACGTTAATCAGGAGGACAAAAGCGGCTCAGATTGTCAACGAAGGCTTCAAGTTCGAAGCTATTTTAAAGATCTCAATTAAACTTAATTTTTTCTATCCAACATAGAAACATTAAGTGTTTTCGGGACGCTTTCTTTGGATTTATCTCTCTCTCTCTCTTTCTCTCTCTCTATGAATATCTGCTAGCTCTACTGTTCTGATCTCAATTGAGAGAATATTTCTATTGAGAGGTATTTCGGAACAAAACATTAATTCCCTACTGATAATGTTGTATGCTGTAAACGATTATTTCCGTTGCTGCTGACAACAAAACTATGCCCATGTAGAACGTATTAGTTTTGGCCGCTGGCGTGGAAGCTCTGTGAGCAAGGAATAGTCTGACCTTCTCCGTGGCAACAGCTTTTAAAATGAACAAGTAATAGGTATTTAAATGAAAACAGAGAGAGTATATCGATGCGTTTAAGTATATGAGAAAGGGGACACAATTTATTATTCCAATTTCCTAATTGAAATTCGTTATTTGTTTTACCAACGACAGTGTCTGTCTATTAATGTGTATATGTATCCATTTGTATGCATTTGATCCATGTATGTATTTGATTTCCTTTTATATTTACTATTTATTAAGAATAATAGATTATTATATATTTCTATCTGTTTGAGTACGTAGTTACATATGATGAAAAAGCCACAAGTCTATATCATTTAGTTCACAGGCGAGATTCCGCTGCTCAGACAGCTGGCTTACAATATCGCTATAGGTGCCGCAAATAATCGAGATATCAGTGCAGAACGAAACAACTGTCCACTAAGGCCTACTTTAGTTATCATCAGTATTGAGGTGCATCGTCTCCGATCATGCAGAAATATTCCCTCGTAGATCTATTTGGGCACAAGTGCGCTTGAAGACTAACACTTCAGCCTCAAACACTTCGAAATCCTTAGCAGGAAACTGGGAGAGAAGCGAATTTTGCGAATTCCTCGTAAATGGCAATCTAAATAACTAAGACGTATATAATCGAACTGTGGGTAGTCGCCAGCTATACTTGACAATTTTTCAGAACGCTTTTTACTTGAGCGTTACCATATACAGTGGTAGATATATAGATATAGTACATCATACACACGCCCATGTTCTTTCCCACTAACAGTGTTCGAAGTCATTTCGAATGCTAAAATCTGTTGAGAGAGACAGAACATCATTCTGATGAAAAGCTACGATTTTCAAACCACGTTTTGTGATTGAAGCGTTTAGAGGGGCACAAAATTCTGCTCAAGGATGAGACCCCATACCATTCACATTCAACCCCTAGGGCAAAAGGCTACACACTTAGAACAAGCAAAAACCGTTGTCGTTCCCTACAGATCGGGGGAAGCGTTTCTTTCGGGAAAAGTTTCTCGTATCTATCATTTTAGCTAAACCTTTGTTGCTACATTGGCTGCGATGGTACATCAGCCTCTGTTGCACATATATAGAATGATTGACTGTGTACAAATATAAATTAATGCAACTCGGTGTTTCACGGATGTCGTTATCAAATGATTGCTTTTAGACTTGTTCGTTTCAAGCTCTGCCCTTCGATTTGTGTGTTTGTCAATACGAAAAATAATACTTTTCTATTTGCTGTCGTTTATTTGGATTTAGCCTTTTTCCTTACATCAGTTGTTTGACTCGGTGAATACGAGCCTTTCGTCGATGTCCCGGCGTTACTCGATACAGACTGCGAACCTCCAGGGGATTGGTCTTCTTCTACCGGATATTTTGCCGTCTCGCGTCGAAGCGTTGGTTTAAATTTTTTTCCTCTGAAAATATATACAATCAGTATAACATATGGGAAAGTGCAAATCTACCGGATATAGGTGTGTGTTAGTATAATATATAATAATTTCCTTCGTGTATAGGTTAGCTTGGTTGATCCACGTCAACATATACCCATGTTCAGGCAGTAAGAAACACTAGTACGACCTGGACACAGTTAACTACAAAGAAGTTCATTTATTAAGTACTTGAGACCTCTTCAAAGAAACTTTTTTGAAATCAAAAACCGGTGACTTTTTTCTTTGCGTCAATTAAGATTATGGGCACTCACTTTATGGGAATTGGGCTTTTGGTAGGGTCAAGAAGTAAAGGCTGGTTGTCAGCAGTTGAGCTGGAAGCTTTGGAGCCTCTGCTTTCTTGGGCCTGGGGACCTTCTAAAGTCTGTCCATCTTTCTGGGCAGCCTCGCTGTCAATACTAGCCTGCAATTCTTCAGTTCCGTCTTTGCTAATCATAATCTGGAACAAAGCCAAGAAAACAAAAAATGACATAGTGTTAAAATGGGATAAACACACATATTTTACTCGAATTTTAAATGAGATACCTGTGTCGACTCTGTTTCTCCTGTTAACAGCCTTCTCTGTTAACGGCCTCAAGCTGAATTGTTTTTGCGTGGCCAAAATGAAACAATTTTTTGGCCAATAAATTAATAATTGCCACAGGTTCCATACGCAGCATTCGAGCTTTTACGTCGCACGTATGTCGTTATCAGTACGTATTAGCCATATATCCAACTATTCTATTTGAGACTTCGTGTATTACACGAATAAAACGCTCACAGGTGATTACGTTGTTGGGCAAAGATCGGCATCGACATGCGTTTACCTTTGGGACACGCTGACGACGTTTTTTTTCTCGAAAAGCTCTCAGTTGCTCAACGGCACGGATTTCTTCGAGCTGTTTGTAGCCCATGTTTGATGTACTGTAACGTGCCAACCATACAAGACAATCACACACGAGAAAAGGCGAGATCACGTCACGCCAGATGTAGTAAGAAGATGGTGATGTTATGTAATTTCTATTTAGGCAAACAGTTTGACGTACGTTCAGAACGTTGTACGGCTATTTGGATTATGTTCTCATTGCCATGAATCTCCATTAGTGCAACCGGTATTAGCAACCTGGACGCTTTGCCCCTTTCTACATTCGGCTAATTGGTCCTCTTTCAAGTATCAGGGATTATGTCTATAGGAAAGTATTGCTAAAGTTCAGACTTCACGGTTTGTTAAGCTATTGTATTGTTTTGAGGCGTAGATATAAAAGCTTTCTGATAAGGTGCTTTCATAATATTTACATGCCTAGTATTACCAATCTCAGCAAAAATATATTTTCAAGCGAAAAACTAGCGAACGAAATACATTTTCAAAGGAGCAAAAATAAAAACGACCTTCAAGGGAAGGTATTGCCTAGAAAAGGGATGGCTTGAGGAATTGTTCAGTCACAAATATTACGGTGACAATGCTGTAAGGTCTTTCTATTGGACATATCAAATAACCTTCGCTCCAACATTAGACTCACAAGGTTCACCTTGATAATGTCCGGCTAGTACGTTTATGTCGTGCTGATATTCTCCATAAAAGGACAAATAAAGATATGTATTTTTTCAGTCGTCCTTCAGCGCTTAATGCGTATTGAAGGTATGCTTTAGACTGCAAGGTCCAACTGCGGTGTGTAGTAAAAAAACACAAAAATCGTCCATGTATAGAAACTCAACTCAGAAAAATTTATTCGTCTTTGACAAAAAGATCGCAAAAACTATTGTCATACAAACATAGTTTTGTAAAGAACTTTTGGGACGGTTAAGATGCCCAGTTTAAATTACCAACAACGCAGCCTAAGTGAAATCTACGTTATGAGCGCTTAAGGCAACCGAACTCAGCATTGAGACTTGTTAAAATAAAAAGCTTTTATTTATGTTAGGGTGAATTAAGCTAACAATATGGAATCGAATGGAAAGTGTGTCACAGTGAAATATAGAAATACGGCCAAAATACGAAATGTATTACTTACTTTACTGACGAAACTAGCGGCTCCTCGTCGGACCGTTGACTACGTAGAGGCCTCCTACCATCTTTACGATCTGCAATAGTTATAAGGAAGGTAGATACCAAAATGTATCTCGCATATCCTTTCGCCTAAAAGCTTTCTCATCCCGCGATGTACATTCTGCCTAATTTAAGTTTTATTTTTAAAAATTATTTCTGGATTTGTTCCTTATATCCTCTGCTAACACAGCACTAAATAGAACTGCTTTGGTTCTCTGTATAGGCAACCACGAAACTGGTTAATTGGAGAGTTATATTTTTATAGAATTTTATGAAGGGCGGTTTGACGCGAAGCCTGTTAGTAAAACTGTACAGATGGAGGCAGTCCTTAGGACGTAGCGTATTTAAGGTCATAAGGCAGAATTGCGCCTTTCCGTTTTAAACATGGCACAAGGAGCCTCAAACTCTGAAACAAGAGGTTAGGTACCCAAGAGTAAGAAAGAAGGAAATAAAATAGGGTCAACGGCCTTTTGACCGATCTGCCTGCTGGACATGGCTACAAAGGCCGTGGAGAGTATCGTAGTCGCTCGATTCACCAGCGAGATCGAAGAAAAAGGAGCACTGACAGAAGCATAAAACGGGAACAGCGTTCAACAATCGCAGCTGTAAACAGTGTCCTCAAAACAGAGAAAGAAGAGATGAAGAGGACGCTGAGGACTAGAAACTTTGTACTTCTTATCCTGCCGGACGTTAGAAATGCCTTTAATAGCATAGATTGCGGAAAACTGATGGCCGCACTGGAGGGGAAGGGGACTTCCACATACCTACGCAGGGTCATCATTTCGTATTTATAAAATAGAAGTCCGGAGGCGGACGGGACGAAATACAGGGTCACAGCTGGGATCGATCCTCGAACCAGCACTGTGGAACCTAGCCTACGATGGCGTGTCACAAATCGCGAATTTACCGGGAGAGGCGGAAACTATTGCGTACGCAAATGATTTGGCTTTTATTATTAGGGCCCGGACAGAAGACGACCTAGAAAATAAAGCAGATGATTCTCTCGAGCTGGTAAATCGGTGGGTGGAGGAGCGTTACTTCAGATTAGCCGCTGAGAAGGCAGTAGCAGTATACCTAACTGGCAAAAAGAAGACCAGAGTGGTCAATGTCTTGTTGGGAGAAACCCAAGTCAGTATCCAGAAAAAAGCAAGATACCTCAGCGTGACGCTAGACACTGCGATATCTGCAAGGGAACACATTAAACATATAGTTGCAAGGGCGGGAAAAACAGCCCTCAACTTGTCCCGCATTCTGCATAGAGTAGGGGGCCTTCTGAGCGCCGTCAGAGGCTCCTTGCTTCTGTAGCGGAGGCTACAGCGCTCTACGCCGCTCTAGTGTGGGCAGATGTGGCGCTGAGAACAAAAGCCAACTGCGACGCACTGCTAACCGCTCAAAGGATAGCAGCAATAATCATAGCAAGAGCGTACAGAACTGTCTAAACCGAAACTTCCCATGATGACCATGGGCAGGTCCCATGAAACGTCCGAGCATGGTGCCATGGGACCTGCTCGCCAGCGAAAGAGCGGAGCGCCGTTGGAGAAACGTAAATAACGACGATGACATGGCTCGTGCGGTCACAATGGATAAATGGCTGCAACAGTGGGAAAGCTGTACAGTCGGCTCTTATGGGAGAGCAGGGCACAAGACCCCACCGGGACTTGGCATATCCGGGGAGGAGGGGAGCCCGGCCGAAGGATGGACCGGAACATGATAAAGGGGATAATAGCCCAACGTTCATTCCTGCAAACTATGGCTTCGAAGTAATATTAAACAATATCCCGAACCAGAGCCCAAGTCTTCGAGGAGTCCAGGGTTTAGCGGGTGAAAGTCCCACACTATCAGACAAACAACACAGTCTGGTCTGCATAATGCATTTACCCTCAGCCCCAAAAAAAAAACATCCCCAAGATCAAGCAACGATTTCAGTAGCCGACTCGTTTATTCAGTCCAAAAGCTTATTGAGATATCACTAACAAACTAGAAATAACGGGAACAAACTCTGTTTTCATCATGTGGATGCTTGATGATAATCGGCTATACTTTTATACGAATCATAATTTTTATATTCTTTATTAATGCTCAACACGATCATAAGTGTCAAACTTACGCTACCTCTATCTGGTTTAAGCCTGGTCGGAGGCCTGCTTCGCACGCTCTGATCATACGCTTTCAGTTGCTCGTTCCTTTAATGTTTTATTGATCATCAGTTATTAAAATTCGTCTTTTTTCCATAGAGTATCGTGCTTGGCATAATTGATTGCAATCTCACCGTTTTATATCATTTTCTTCAAAAGGCTATATTAATCGCACCCCATTGCGAAATATATCCGTGCTAATATTCTTTGTATGCTAATGACATACGCTGAACTACAAATGTGATGACGTAAAGAAACGTCACGTATACTACGGTGATACGCCGTCAGATGGTAATAGACAAAGTCTTGAGGGATGCCAAGCATATGAGATCGATTACAATCATTCCGTGTTTTAGTTAGCTCTATATTTGCCTTTTACGGGTATACCAATGTGTTTGCGGTCGGAGTTTTATAGCTGGTTATATACGAAGCACATAAATTCAACTATTACAGCAAAAAAATGGTCCGTTCATTGCTTACCCATTTGTCGAGCACGATCAACATGTTCTTGCACTGCGACGTTCCATGAAGGTGCTGCCGGGCCTCTGGAGGTTTCCGAACTTTCAAAGTCATCTTTTTCTTTGTAAAGATGCTCCTGAAATAGGCAATAGGTAAGGTGTGTTACAAATGAAGCGGTTGTGTATTATGTCAATGACGCATTTATTAAACAATATAATTGAATGGTATAGACATAACATAGTAAAAGCTAAACTTTTATTATTTTAAACGCTTTTTATTGTTAGCGCTCATGGAAGCAATTGATTCGGATTCGAGTTTCAATACAAAATCTCAATCAGTAAGTGTCCATGGCGAGAAGAAGATCATTGAACTTTAACTGTAAACGGTTCCGTTAGACATAAGCTTTACCTGTATACATATTTAGAATGGCGTACATGTCCACCCTCGTACCTGGGTCAAAGCTACGGCTCGTTGTAGCGGTGATGAAGAGCCTTTTAATTTCTGTACCATCGATTGCCGTCTAGACGCGGCCGACCACATGTTAAGAATCTTTTCGGCCTTCTCAGCCTGGTCCTCGTTAGTGATGGCTATAGGAAACGAACATAAACGCATATTGTCGGTTACCAGCAGGCCAATTATCAGTAGAAGGGAAAGACGGTCGATATCGCTAGCGATATTGGTTTCTAATTATGCTTTCAGCCTTACTATGATAAACAAAAAGATACACTTTTTTTTAGATGGCTAATTGTAGGTACATGCTAGTTTAGCTATTGGCTGACGTTCTGTGCTTATCTCTGAGATATGCTGTATTAGAATCGAATGCTAAATAAGTAATAATAAAACGTTCGTGTGAAACATTTTGATACTTCGCCGGAACCTGATCGGCTAAAATTTACGAAGTAGGAATAGAAGAGTTCTCAGACAAGATCTTACCAGGTTTGCTTTCAATATCTAATGGAATTTTGGAGAGCTTAGTGCTTTCCTCTTCTGCTTTCTTCGCACGTTTTTCCTCTTTTTCGCGGCGAATCTGGGCCATCAGATCGTTGTTGGATTCTCTCAAGGAACCCGTTATTGACGAGAGATAATAAATGACCAGTCTACAATATACCAAAAAATTAAAGAACGATTATGTTCGATGGTAAGCAACTGCTTCAAAGTGGTCAAAATGGTTTGCATCTACCTAAAACTATTTGAGGAAAGTTTGACAGTTTGCTATGCGAGTTTGCATTTAACGCCTGTTATAACAGGGGTTTTCTTTCTAAAAAACCGTTCAAACTGAGCCTCGTCGCATCTCAAAATAGTTATCGTTATTGTATATGATTTTCTGCCATTTCCTCTTGGAGTTTTGAGGCAGCAATAGAAGTGCTGGAACGAAGTATGTCTTTATCAAGCTTCTGCCGAAACCGGTGCCTGACACTTGTCATAAGACTACGTTTAGAAATCCACCCATTTGGTCTAACACTTTGCTGGCACGTACTACCCCCGCCGTAAAATGAAGTTTGCCCCATATCGTTTTATTGCGCATATTATTTGCTCTATCTGTGAAAGTATTTCAGGGATGCGATTAAAAAGAACGAGTTAAATGCTTGAGGTACTATGGCAGTCGAGTTCTTCACATGGACAGTAATAACTAAAATAAGAAGCTAAGAAGAAAATGTTGGCCAAGTTTTCTGCCTCCTCAAGAAACTATTTTTACACTTCAGGCAGTAGCTGTTTCGTCGTACGTCACTGCAGAATATGCAGAAAGAACTGTGACGTAGTAGAAAGACGTGGTGATTTAAAGATAATGCGATAATACGTTTACAATAAACACTGAATTAACTAGGGACCGCTACGTGTTCTGCACGTTTTTTTCCATAAACTAAGCAACAAAGGATGAAAAGTAGCCTTTGACCAAAATGTCAGTTGATTTGTGCATGAAGTAACATCTAATCCCATATTTTATTTTTAGAGATAATATTCCCCATTAGGAAATAGAGATAAGCCCGCTGCATAAAAATAAGATAAGTTTACACAATATTCTCCGCTTGTATTATACTTTCATCCATTTCAATATAGCTATATTAAAAAAGAATGAAATTATATCCGGAAGTCACGGTACATAGGGAGTCCTAGTTCCCTGTGGCTGATCTTTAAGCTCACTCTATTATAGAGCTCAGAATTTAATAGCCTTTTAAAAACTGACAGTCACGTAAGTACATATTAGCCCTATTTATAATACTCGATGCGATAGAGGTTGCTGTTATTACGTATTCTAATACAAGGTTAAACAAAGCCTCTCCGATTAAGGAACCGCGATCGACCGAGTTTCATCTACCCGTGCATATGTTTAATCAGAGAATAAAATACGACAATAGGTCAAACCTGTGGTAGAAGTGTTTATTCCTTTCGCGCCTACCCCCTAGACCGCTGGAGTGCTTGACAACTTTCAGCTCTGAACTACCATTGACCTCCACTACTAACAGAGCAATCGTGTTGTACTTTTTCTTTTTTTTTTTTTTTTTTTTTATCTAATTCTCCCCTTACCATAAATATACCTTCCTCTGAGAGATCTCTTCGTACCATGGGCTCTAGACACTTACACTAGTAGAAGGATAAGCGGAATAATGGCACCAGCTGAACAGCAATATTCAAGAACGATATTTAACCACTTCGGAAGCGTTCGCTTCAAATAGTTCGTAAACACCTTATAAGCCTGCAAGATAAACGGATCGTACGGTGAATGGTGGATAAACCCATCCTTGTTGCTATAGAAAAAGAGATTTAATAATGATCGCAAAATTAGCGCCAAGTTAAGTAATCATATGCTAACAATAAGGTCGTTTAAAGCTAGTCCAATAGGTAAGTGTTGTCGGGGTGAAACCTTTACCTTGCAATAGGCATTATATATTTGGTCCATGCTACGTTAGGTAATGATGATCTGCCTGTGCGAAAAACCTGCGCGAGGTGACGAAATTGTTGCGTACCCGTTTACATCCGCTGAAAGGACCACAGTGCCATGAAGGTTCCAACCACACCATCGCATATCCAACTGGTAACGTACAAATGAAGAGCATGACCAAAAGAAGCATATAGTAGAAGTTGTTTCCCGAGGCTTTAAACACGGTTTCATGGGGGATGTTTGAAGTTAATACGGCCCATGAACGAACGTACATCATTAGCGCCAATTTGATCGTATTAATCGCTGGTAAACCAGGTGAAAAGAACATGCCCATCCTTGAATCGTTCAAAAAAACAAGTTATGTATTATATAGTTATAATCAATTCTTGTTTTATGGTGGCGAGGCACAGTTTTTGCTAGACATAGCCTTCTCATCATTTAAATAGTATTATGCGACATTTACTCGATCCTCGACTACTAAATAGATCCTCCCTGCAACATATGGACGTATGAGAAAATTATCACTTTAATCCGGGTCAAGGCATGTTACTGGAACTTGACGGGATCATGTTATATAAGTGCTTCGTGCGGTTTCGGATAAATTAAAGCTTCAAAACAAAAAAAAATTCAAAAGCTCGGACTTCAGAGTGGAAGAATTGACTTTAATCATTTGACGAGATCGAGCCTGTGAATTAGATTAGGCGTTCACACGAATAACAGTTAAGCTGATTTACCAAAGAGCTGATTTAATCTGACAATTAGCCGCATAAATTCGAAAATTATCTGAGTTAAAATGAAGGTGTGACATATATGACGAGATTACCTGTCTGTATGCTAGTGTTTTACTATCGGTAATAAAAAAAAAAACACGTTACTTAAAATCATCATAATTTTAATGCCATTGAATAGGCTTCGTGCATTTCAAGCAAAAAATCCAACTGGTGTTCAATTGCCTACTTCGGACAATTCTTCATTTTAATATAATAATGAAGTTTATGTACTAGCTCAAGGTTAATATTTAACCTAAACTAATTGCAGTACTAACCAGACCATGCCTTGATTATTAACGAGGTGAAGAATATTCTCGGCGATTTTGAAGTCGCCATACCCAGGCTGGAAAGGAAATGTCAACAAAAATATACTGTAAACTCCAAGGGCAGCCTACTGGATGCATCTAGTAGGTCTGGCTGGAAAGAAACCATGCCTTTTCTTATGCGTCGTCGTTGTTTTAGGAAGGAACATTAATCACAAGCTTTCTAGTCCTAATAATAAAATCTAGGTAATCAGATTTTTTTTTTTTGCAGAAGTTCCACTATAGTAAAACACTTATGTAAACTATTATCATTTTTTTAGAGTTTCGGACGATCAAGGCCTCAGCCTTACCCAGCCGACTTCCATGTCCCAGCAGCAATAGTTATTGAGGTAGCGGATGAAGACTGCACGAATGTAATCTGTGAGGACAGTTGTTCCAATCGTCATCGCGAGGTCCATGACAGTTAACTTGACGATCTCCTGCCCAAACATTGTTTCCCAGCAAAGCTTACGAAGACGATCTTTGTCAGACTCGTCGATGCGGTTCAGCTCGTCCTGACTAATGTAGCCTGACGCATAGTGAAGATTTAAAATTGGTACTAAGCCAGTTCGACTTATTAGTTAAACTCTAAATTGGCAGCGTTTGACGAGGTAATTTTTTTTATTAGGATAGTAGCACACTTATTTAGTATAGGTTTGAGCTATAGAGTCTATTTATAAGGCATGATTTTATAGATGCTAATGCTTAGGCTAGATTCAAACGCTTGAGAAAAGCAGATTATTATTGTTTCCCACTAATAAGTAGAAGACCATTAGACAAAGAAGATGCGGAACGAGTAACAAAAAGATTCATTCAACTACCTGGCGGCCGACTTGTCGTTGAAATATAATCAATATCTGAAGCTGTTGTTTGTTCCTCTTCCTTTAGTTCTTTTGGTATCTGTAACAAGAAAATTAAGACTTATGTACCTCGGTACCCATAGTAGAAGGCGCTGCTCCTATAATAAGCCTAGAGTGAAACAAAATTGAATTTTGTTAGGACAAATAAAGTTACCTAGGGTATCTTAGGCCAAGGCCTTCATTCGTAAATTCCCTTGTGATAGCGCATCAATGGTAACTGCTTTGCGTAATAACTAAGGGTTTGTTAGGGTCGTTTAGATTTGCAATTTAAACGTAGAGCCACATTTTGATTTTCCAATATAAATCTCTGTAGCAATACAGAAAACGACATATGTAGCCACAATTTATCTTTCTACTCGGTTCTGTCTGCACCAAATGCCTTTACCTTGACAGGTTCTTTCAACAGTTCTAAACGGGTTACTAAGGCCTGTCGTGGAACGTACAACTGAAGGAATAGATTCCTGTTTATCTAAGCACAGATGCAACATTAGCGAGTTTGAGATTGATATCGTTTATTGTACAACAGTAAATCTAGTCATTAGAGTCCTGTTTTTTAAACGGTTTCAATTTGAGTTGCGTAAAAGACTAATCCGCTGGGACTCTATTGATAGTGGTGCCTATATTATTTTTATCTACGTTATAACCAGGTGTCCCCGGACACCGCGTAATAAAGGCTTACAAGTGGAACGCACCAGCTTTTCTGTTCTATATTTTGATTTTCATTTTTTTTACAATTAAAATTATAGAAGCGATACTTTCGGGTGATCCAATGTCGAAACCGGACTTCCACGTCGTCTATCGGATGTGGAACCGTCCTTGCAATAAATATATTAGAACAAACTTACCGGCAGGGAGCCACAGTATGGCATATACACGTTCGTGCAGTTCATGCGTTCCACGGGCAAATAGTCTTCTTCAGCCACTGACACCGTGGACGTTTGTACCAGAGTAAATGTTGGCCGTTCTGTGTCGTTGCCAGAGAGACTGGTGAAGTTGCTCAAGTTATCGTAAAATAAGAGATTCGTCGCATCTGAAACGTTAAACTCGGAACCAAATAAATTCGATGCGAACGCGTCGTTGGGTGTTACTTCAGGGGACCTGACAGCCCAAAAATGGAAGGGAAAAACAGATAAGTAGAAGGCACGTTATACTGATGACAGCTGTAATAATAACGGCCATAAGAAACAATAATAATAATAACAAGGTATCTGCTGAATGAGAATGTAAGGCCATGCCAGCGATGTTTTCGTATGTTTGCAATCAAGGAACTCCTTTGACATCCTTCATTAATTTCAACGCAGTACTTACTCATATGTTTAATTGAAACTACACAGTGGGTGATTCTTATGGCATCTGCCCGGCTTGTTTCGAATATCTGAATTATCTTCACGTACATAAATCGTCATTAATATTAGCAAGTTTTTGTATTATTAGTATTAGCAGTTTTTGTTCAGAATTGAAGCAAATATCTCTCATACTTTAAACCAATCTTACTAAACTGTATATACGCTATTTCCGTGAATGATTTTTCTGTTTCTCTAGTAATCTTGTAATTTCTTGAGTTCTAGGGGAAAAAATGTGAAAGGTAGTTTTTACATTCGTATGTAACCCATCTGTAATTGCCCATAATCAACCGCTCTAGAAACGACCTGATTTCATTACGCCGCTGAAGAAATTTTCAGAAGACTGAACCCTTCCGCATTAATCCGTGTGGAACCTAAACATCGAACTTATTTTTGTAGTCAGCTTTCTTCGAAAAATTCAAAACTTCTTCGTGGTAGATGTTTTAGTTCTTTCACAAAATTATGGTTACTCGTAGATGAATCCTTTTTAACGTTTTGATCAGGAATTTCATGAAATTTTTTCGTAGTTCATCGATTGCTACGAGTAGCATCTTTCGCATCGAAGTTTCCGGAACGAAAACGATAGAACCAGCCTCAAACCGTTTCTTTGGGTAACCCGTGTTGATTATCAACAGCATATTTTTTTGTGGGCCTGGGCAGCGTTTGTACCTTTGTCGTGATAAAGCTGTGAGATATCGCGAATTTTGTACAGATTTTAGCACATCTCCTACTACCAAATAGTGCCCAGTTTTGAATGGCATTATGGTTGTCCTAGTGCAACTCATATTATACGAAAGACCACCTATTATTTGTTTAGTAGTATGCATGTAGTGCCGTTATTAATTTTCCGGACAATCCTAGCAGATTTACCGTGGATCCATCTCCATCGAAGGCACAGATTTGTTTTTGAGTTTATTCAAGTTCCTAATATCAACCTCATGCGCAACATATACTACACACGAACACGATTGGTCTACAGCCCACCAAAAAAGTATCGCCCATTTAGGGAAAATGGCGAATTTCAACTTCCAAATCCAAAATGTAGTCCATCTCAATCTAAATAAATCTAGCACTATCCATTCTAACTCTGAACGAAACCAAAGGTCACTACGATAATTTACTGCTAAAAATAGTATTAGATGGTGGCTAAATGGAAGACAAAAAAACCCGTTTTAACTAACTAACCCATTTGGAGTTAAGTTATTGTTGAAGTGATGCGAGATCGTATAATTAGCAATGAACAGTGCGATCTGTTCTAAAGAATAAGTTTTTGCGGTCGTTGTCGTAGTGGTCGTAGATACCGTCGAAGGTGGTGGACACGGAAGAGAACTATTCCAGTCTCTGTCATCCTGTGCCGTTTGATTATACTCGATGCTACTATTCCTGTAATAGAAATTATACGAGGCAGGTTTCACAGCTTTTTCTATGTTTCTTGCCGTTACCGCGATTAAAACTCATGGCAACGATAGTTCGAAAAGAAACGATCGATTTTTACATTGAGCATCAACTGATATTTTTCAACCATCTTAATAGTTAGCAGCCATATTATTAGCTGGTAGTCCTACGGGATACCATATAGAATGAATACGCACCACGCTGAATCGATGCACCATGATTGATTGTAGGATGGTATTGCTCCACATGGTTCTGGCATCACGCTATAGAACATTTCGTTGGGGACGCGAACTGGGAACGTCGAGTTGAGAATTAACAATAACAAACTACATTTTATCGGAAGCCAGCTGCAGGTTAGACAGTTCGAAAGATCCAATTTTGGGAATGTCTTCACAGCGTCATGTAAGAATTCTTCTAGAGGACTCATAGGAAGCTGAAATGTCAAAACGTGAAATTGTAAGTGCTCAAACGATTTTCAGGTAGTTTCAAGGTACCAGCGACGTATCTCGTATTCGATATTTGACTACAAAAGCTTTCTGGTTCGAATAGTTTAGCTCCAATCGATTAGTTCGTCTAACCTCTAATTTATTTGGCCAGAGATCCGTATGTGTTAGGACTTCAGTCATATCTGATAAAATTCATACCTAAACTAAACACGATTTAAGTGCACCTACCTCAGTAAAGAAATCGAGACTCGTCAGGTTATCCATGGCTGCGTTAGGTTCAACGGGTAGACTGTTACGCCTGTCGAACGCGCCGCTTTCTATTAAGAACGTTATGTTTTCACGCATACCGCTTAGCTCGCTCGTCTGAAGGTGTTAGAACGACGGTTCGAATAAATCCCACTGTTTTAACCAGGCTCATACGGTTAACACAGTGGATTGCTAGAAAACAGCTCATATCAATTGAGTTGATAGAGCAAATAAGCACACCTTACTTTGATTAATAGTGATTCTGTTATAGCTTTTTGATGAAATAGTCTATAATAGAAATAAACACCCATTGGCTTTTTCAAGCTTGTATAGTTTCGCTGGCGTTGTCGATATTTAGTTGGTCTTACCATTTTTCGAACCTTTCCGAAAAGGGCGAAAATCAGTGTGTACAAATTGAGCATGTAGAGCATAAGGATTCGAAACAGCTGCCATTGTAATTGCTGGCGTGGATGGTATTGCTCTATTGCACCTATACGTAGAGTTAGAATGAGGAAAACACGGATTAGCAATAATAACATTATGCCGAAACAAGGGACAATATAACAATACAAACTTTCTAGATCGAGACAAATAAATCAACGACAATGAACGATGTCACGATCAATCGTACGGCTCACAGCTAGATAACTACCAGCCTTCCTTTTTATTTGTATTATAAAGTTTCTAGTGTATTTGTTAAATGAGCCGTCATTTAGCGTCCGTGAAGCTTGTTTTGTGGCAATTGTACCTTGCAAAAATGACAGTATACCATTGACACGTTGATTTCCATAAAATATATCTCGAACTCCCTTCACCGCTCATCTTAACACATCAGTCCAGTTATTGCTTGGAATTTAGCAACTATATGAAGATCCATGAGAGAGTCTATCTATCTCTCTCTCTCTCTCTCTATTTTGTAAATTCGCTAGGCTGAATATGTGCCGTTAACCAGAAAGCCTTTCGAGGCACTATATGTATTTACAATGAAGTTATGACAGGAGCATGCATGCATGTATGTATATGACGTTCTGTTACACATCATAAACGAGTTTTCATTGAAGATATAGGCGTTCATATTCCACTAAATAGTAATTCTATAGGACGTATCCAATGCATAGGCTGCAATCGATACCAAACAAACCAATAGAGCTTAAAAGTAGTTATCGAATTGCCAAATATACATAATGCCCGCAGGAATTCATAGACTAGTGCATAGAAAAGATCTGGAATGTCTTCATCGAAGGACTACAGAAACAAGGTCATTTTTCGGCTCTTACAAAAGCACAGTTAGCTACAGTAGCTCGTCGGATAGTAGATAACGATCGGAAGCTCTGACACCTGATCAAAAATGGTGAGCTTTTTTTATATAATTTTCACAATTATTTATAACAAGGAGTGGATCGAACGATGTCTCGAGTACTCAGCCGGCTGTTCATGTCCGGCTCAGCACTAAAAGCCCGCCCCAGGAACCAATTTCATCACAGGACTGGACTGTGTTTCATGTGAATTTCTACTAGACGACCTAAGGCATAGACATTTTTATCTAGCAAGGCCCTTATTTTACTGGAACGACCTGAACAAAGGTCGTCAATCAGGTGACTGTAGGCTTTGTTTAATGGTCAATTCTACATCGGGCTGTTTTGTTCAATCGCTTTGGGTGATTCGAACTAACACAAACTGTTAACATTTGACACTGCACCTCTGTTTGTACGTTATCGCGCCTATCCGACAAAGCTCACCGATCAAATCGAAGAAATTCGGGTACACGTTGCTAATACCGGTAAGGACGAGGGTGACCTCGTTTTGGCGATACCAGCTCTTCTGCGCTTCTGGTTCTTCGCCACGAGCGACGACGAGGATGACGGCGTATGCGGATGAACCAAGTAACAACAAAACCAAAAAGTTTGTAAATGTACGGAGGGTGATGAGTTTCCAGCTCCGTTCCTCCTTTCGACGTTCTTTTTCTTCCAGAATTGATTCCTGGCCAGGGAAAAGATACAGGCGAAAACTGGTATGTATA